TGGCTAACTTTTATTCGGAGACATTTCTTATCTAGTTCTAGCGTGGACGTGAAATGAAATTAACAAATTCGCAGTCTAGCCCAGATCGATTAAATTTAATACATTGCATAATGTTCTTAACTTAACGACTTATTGTTAGTTTAAACGACTACGTTCGTTCCGGCTGCGTTTGAATTTATGTGACGTAAATCTGTTTCTCAAGCATTCGTCTCGAGACGAAGGAAAAACGAGAATAATCCAACAGCGAAGATAATTTGCATCTCAATATATTCATTTACATCCGAGTTTCCCATCTCAAGATACTTCGTATATTTTGTTTTTTTTTTTTTCTTCTCTTCTGATCTCTTAATTTTTCAATGTATCTTACCTTTTCAATCAACAGCTAATGTATTTCGCCTTGAAATTTTTATTTACTTTAACATAATAATTTCATTTGATTTGATTTAATAGATTCGGATCTCAATAACCTGACATCGAGTAAATCCAGATCGAAGACTTTAATTTAAGAGGAGAAAGGATCCTATATTTTGTTCCTTGTTATAAACAATAGAATATAAATTATAATGATAACTGTAACTAGAATAGAATTATGGCTTGGCAGTTTTAATAATTGAAGTTTATGAGTTTATAAATTGGTTGTTTTCGTAAAATGAAGGTCAGAAAAATTATGGGATCTGCTGATATAGCATTGTATAAATTATACACGTACAAAAATTTAAGGTACTTCATTTTATTTATTCTCGCCGATAGAAAAATTAAATCAATTGAAAATGACAGAGCGAAACTTAAATTTTTATAGCAACAATACCAGCCAAGAGTTAGAGATAGAAATTTTTAATTCTAATACCACCCTCACTTGAACCAAATTTTCAACTTCGAACTTGTATGCAATTTAGTAACAATTAATTCGAAGCCTCGTGTGATATTCAATTCCGCAAAGAGAAAAAATGGAGGACAAACAAGCATTTGCAATTAGTTGGGAATAATCAAAAACTCCCCTGTTCGTATTTCACACATTATCCCTCAAACATGATTCAAACATTTCGCAAGTGCTTGTCCAATTAGTCGAGAAATGTCCCTCTTTACGCTTCGAACCTCGATTCGGAACCTCGTAATATTCAATTCTGCAAAAAGGCGATAAATATCGAAGTGAAGGGCAAACATTTACAGACAGACATTCAGAAAATTCCTCATCCTTGATTTTTATCATGCACGTGGTTTAGCTGGTTTTCACTGTTTATCGTTCCTGGAATTGTCATCATTGTCAACACGAAGTTTCACTGTATAGCCTCTATTACTTATATGCATTTATTTTTTGCATTTTCCATCCGGTGTACCCACTGAAAAAGGATATCTCTCTGTTCAGTCGTGATACAGCTGTGCGAAAGGCAACATCGTCCTTTCTATGTGTCACTAACTATGTGAAATTGTGAGATCTGACGTTGTTCAGATGGTAGTAACTCTTTCCTAAGTGCAATCACCGTCATTGCTTTGTTTCAAGCATCATTTTTCAATTTGTCGGAACGAATGAGTCGACGAGATTTCGGGTTGAACGAACTGACTACGACGTGACTTAACGCTGACAAGCATAATAAAATTAAGTCAACGCTGACAAGCATAATAAAATTAAGTTAACACTGTTTATACGAGCAAAGATTAACAGTAATTAGAAGAGGAAATAATTATTATTATTAATCATCGAGAAATCTAATTTTAGGAAGAGAACAATTTCTTTTAACTTGGAATGTGTTTCACGTTCGAACAGTGAAAGATGTGCAATTTTCCTTTTACGGGAACTAAGTCAACAATGTAAGAGTATTATATAACTTGCAGCTCCTCCGGACTTGGTAATTTGAAATTTTTTTTTCATTCACAGAAGCAAAATAATGAAATACCGCGGATATAGAATCAACCAGAATTTCAGTATCAATTGTTGCGTATAAATCGTTTCGAAATCTAATTAACGATTATCTACAAAATGATTGCACAATGCTTAGGAATCTTGACTTTGAGTTATCTCCAGTGGTTCTCTAAACTTCTTAAACTCTTTACATTATTACAGAAAAAAATCAAAATTAAAAATTTAAGCTAGATGAAGCTTATGAATCTTAATTAGTTCATAGCAATTAACAATTTTAATTCGTAATTTTAACATTCCTTTCCCATTGAAAGGAGGATCAATTTTGCGCAGTTGCCATACACAGTATTGAATATTATTACGTGCACAATTTTTCTTCTTTGAAATGCTAATTCCGTCAATCATGTTTGCAGTCTGAAGTGGTGCTCGAAATAGATGAAGAACTTATCCATGCCGGAGCACAGAATATGTTGCCAGTCGTGGACGAGTGTCGAATCACTGTGGATTCAGATTTATCGAACGACACCCAAATCAGTGAGTGGTTATCTTATTTTTTTTTATTTCTATTTTTTCGCTACAATTTATACGTAGATACAGACAAGACTGTGCATCTCGTTGGAAAAGAAAAAGATTTCGAACATGAAAATGATGGTTTTTTCAGACCGCGAAATGATGATTGTACCATTGGATCAGTGACAAAAGTTAATCACGTTTAAAAGTAAAATATTTTCTATGTGCGGTGAAATTATTGCAAGACTATATTCAATATTTAATACTTTTTTTCAATTGTTTCACGTTAACACAATCTGAGTTAAAGGTGTCCCATAAACTGTGGGAAAGAAAATTAGAATGAAATTTCTTCATTCAAGATTCTAAGAAAATTGAGTGTGAAAATTTACCATTTGTCTAATTCTGAACTGTGTGTAGACAAGAATGGAAATTTTTCCTCTCCGATTCCACGTAAAATTGAATTAGATTAACACGGTCGAAAATTCGTGAATTTAAAAAAGATATTTCAGCTTTAATTTTTAATTTTGCAAGTTTTTGTCGCGTGAGAGAACAAGGAAAATAAATAAATGAGCTTTACAAAATTAAAATTAAAATACCTTTTAAGTTAATCATTCTTCGATCACGATTCCCCTAATGTC